TATATATATATATTCCCGCATATCCCGCATATCCTTTCTTTCCGTGGATAATACTTTATCAAGCAAACCACTTTCAGTTTATATGAGGTGGATTTTTATTCTTTCTTGTGTGTGTTAATCTATATATATATATATATATATATCCCGCATATCCTTTCTTTCCGTGGATAATACTTTATCAAGCAAACCACTTTCAGTTTATATGAGGTGGATTTTTATTCTTGCTGGTCACTGTTGTGTGTGTGTGTGTGCGCGCGCGTATGTGCGTGTATATGTGTATGTGCAAGTTTGGAATCAATATTAATAGTACCTCCAAAATTAAACGATGGAGTAGTGGTAAATGCTTCCAACAGTTTTACAGTTTTTTTTTTATTATCCTGTAGTACTTCCACGGGCATTAACTTAAAGATATTATTTAACAGACAAGGAAAAAAATCATTCCTAAAATTCATGACACATGTTAAAAATACATAGAAATAGCACATAAGTTATTAATAATAAAATTTAAATATTGCACATATGGAAATATATACAGGGTGTCCGGTAAAGATTGTGCCAACGCTCGTGAGCGGGTAGAGCACAGTAAACTGAACAGAAAAGTCCCGTAACATTTTTTTGTGTAACGCTTAATAAAGGAGTTATTATTGAGTAGTCTGCCAATCAACGCCGACCTTTAGCCGCGCGCCTGGTAGTGTGCGTGAGCGCTCCGTCGCTACGGCAGCCCATACTACTAGGCGGGCGGCTCACCGATGTGCGTCCGGCTAAAAGTCGGCACTGATTGACCAGACTTTATTCAATAATAACTCCTTTATTAAGCGTTATAAAAAAAAATGTTACAGGACTTTTCTGTTCAGTTTACTGTGCTCTACCCGCTCACGAGCGTTGGCACAATTTTTACCGGACACCCTGTATATACAGGGTGGGACATTTATATTGAGACACCTAAATATCTAAAAAATAAAGCAAGGTAGAAAGAAATGTTTCAGACAAAAGTTATATGGTTTCGAGGGGGTCACATGACAAAAATATGGACTTGACCTTGAGTAACCTTTACAAGGCCAGGTCAATGTGATCGATGTTTTCTTAAATGGAGCCCCCCATTTTTTATTACATATTTTTGTAGCTTATCTCGAGAGCTTTTCAAAACACTATAATAAAGTATTTTTTTATTAAGTACTTTTTGAGTTATTTTATATTTTAATCTGACATATTTTGATATAAAAAATAAAATATCTCGTAAAATATTTAGTTTTCGATAATCTTACCGTAATACTTTTATGTACAGAATAATGAGACAAATCAATTAGTAAAAAAAAAAAATAATTGTTTTTAAGAAAAAAGTATGTAATTATTTACAATGTATATTTTAAAACAATTATTTGTTTTTTTCTTTACACATACAAAAATATATGATAATATGAATCATAAATACATCTCTTACACAAAACGTTCTTTTTTTATGTAAATTAAGAAATAAAAAGATAATTAAAAAATAAATAAGAAAATGAATTTTGAAATCAAATAACTTAAAATAACTTTAAAAAAAATCAATTTTTTAAATTTTATTTTCGCATATATAAACACGTGTGGCGCAACCATGTGCTTTGTAGATGCTACTTGAGTTCTTTTGGGTTTTAAATTATCATATTCGTACCAGGTAACACCTGTATATATCAGGGCAGTATAATGGCTCATATTGTTTCAATAATTGACAATTTCTCTAAGCACATATTTGTTATTGCTAATTGTGATATTTCGTGCAATGTCTTCTAAAATTTAACTTTTTGGTTCTAATCCAATATTCTTTAAGTAATTAGGATCTGTTAAGATGCTTGTATCGATTATAATTTGTGGATCATACTTTTCAATAATTTCGCATGAATTTTTACATTTTACACAAGTTTGTTTCAAAACACTTGTATCGTTAATTGCGTCTTGAACATATTGCAGTCCTTTATTTAAGAGTATATCAACATTAACGCTTATAACTGCAAATTTTTTTTCGTTAGTATAATGACAATTTGTGCAGATTTTATTTCTGTCTACACTCGGTAATGGAAGAAATATATATTCCGCTAAGTGGGCAGCATTGCACATTGCATCTAATGAATTAAATCTTCTGGTATAGCTTGTTTGTTGAAATAATGGTAAGTTTATCAGGAAAGATGCTCTTTCAGTGTACTCATATTTTGTGAGTTTTCCTCGACATGCAATTTTTATTGCTAATTGTAAAAAGGAATCATCTGTGGCCTGTACAATATTTTTGTATTCAGTGTTTATTCCTATTATGTATGCTACTATAATAATTATAGCGTCGAAAGCACACGTGTTGCGTACTAATTTTTTTTTACTGATTGATTTGTCTCATTATTCTGTACATAAAAGTATTACGGTAAGATTATCAAAAATTAAATATTTTACGAGATATTTTATTTTTTATATCAAAATATGTCAGAATAAAATATAAAATAACTCGAAAAATACTTAATGAAAAAATACTTTATATCTTAATCTGACATATTTTGATATAAAAAATAAATCTCGTAAAATATTTAGTTTTCGATAATCTCACCGTAATACTTTTATGTACAGAATAATGAGATAAATCAATTGATATGAAAAATAATTGTTTTCAAGAAAAAGTATGTAATTTTTTATAATGTATTTTTTTAAACAATTATTTTTTTATACCAATTGGTTTATTTCATTATTCTGTACATAAAAGTATTACGGTAAGATTATCAAAAATTAAATATTTTACGAGATATTTCATTTTTTATATCAAAATATGTCAGATTAAAATATAAAATAACTCAAAAAGTACTTAAGATAAAAGTACCGATTGCCGGACATGTCCCTATATCCGGACATTTACATGAAAATTTATCATTATTAATCTCAAATGAATTATTTATTATAATATCAAAATTTTTATTTTATTCTGACATATTTTGATATAAAAAATAAAATATCTCGTAAAATATTTAGTTTTCGATAATCTTACCGTAATACTTTTATGTACAGAATAATGAGAAAAATCAATTAGTGTAAAAAAAAAAACAAATAATTGTTTAAAAAAATACATTGTAAATAATTACATACTTTTTTTTTCAAATAAATTATTTTTTTACACTAATTGATTTGTCTCATTATTCTGTACATAAAAGTATTACGGTGAGATTATCGAAAACTAAATATTTTACGAGATATTTTATTTTTTATATCAAAATATGTCAGATTAAGATATAAAATAACTCAAAAAGTACTTAATGAAAAAATACTTTATTATAGTGTTTTAAAAAGCTCTCGAGATAAGCTACAAGAATATGCAATAAAAATGGTGGTTTCCATTTAAGAAAACATCGATCACATTGACCTCACCTTGAAAAGGTTACTCAAGGTCAAGTCCATATTTTTGTCATGTGGCCCCTCGAAACCATACAACTTTTGTCTGAAAAATTTCTTTCGATCTTGCTTTATTTTTTAGATATTTAGGTGTCTCAATATAAATGCCCCACCCTGTATATATATAAATAATGTACATATGAATATATACTTACTTCAATATTTCGGCATATTGATACCGTAAATCACTATGAGCATCTGCACACATATCTAACACAATTGTCCACAATAGCAAATATCCTAATGTATATGTATAAGAATCTGTAAACGGTTGGATTGTGCAGCTTGTTGTATCACATAATCTAAAAAAATAATAATATAATAAGAAACATACACATATCTGATTAAAAATGGTTAGGTAAAATAACTTATTAAAGGAACTTACTTGAACTCCATGAGCATTGTATTTACAATATTTTGTGTATTTAATAGTACTGCTTTGAATCTCCTAATATTAAAATTGTTTGATTCAAAGTTATCAGATTCAATAAGAATTTTGTCACATTGTACAAGTTTTGATACCATATGTTTCAATGCATAATAAGCTCCCAATTGAATACTAGGTATAGGAGATTGTAATAATTTCAGAGACAGTTCTAACATCTCATTGAAATTAATTGTTTCAGAGTGTTCGTCTAATTTTTCGAATAATATGTTTTTATCAAGAATACTAATTGTTTTTCCTAAAGAATCTAATAGTATAATAGATTTTAAAGTAACTGTATCTTGATTGTAAAAATCCGCACAAAACATCCAAGTTTTGACAATACCACTATTTATGCAATTAGCGAATACATTTATCCATTCATCCAAAAGTGCAGGAGGTAATTCTGGTATTGGTTCTTGCTCATGTTTGTTCATTAAAGTTTGAACTGCATAGTATAATTGATTAACTGCTATCATTAATGCCATTATTTTAATATCAGTATAATTAAGTTCGAAATTAGTAAATAACTGTTGCCATGTAGTAAGAGATATCAAAATAAAATCCCAATGTTCGTATTGTAACTTCGATGGAACTTTTTGGACGAGTGTTTTAAGCAATCTTATAACTTCTAGCAACAAACACAGCTGATTCCATGAAATATTAGAAATATCATGATTTGAAAGTGCGATATCTTTTTTATCATATAACATAATCTTTTCTACAATTGTAGTATAAATTGAACTATCTTTTTTAAGACATATCGCGATTCTTGTGACAATTAGTGTATGAATATCGTTATTTGTTAATGACGGAATATTTTCTGGCATCCAATAATCGCTTAAGATTTGAATTGCTTGCATGTATGTTTCTTCATCATATTCTTCTTCATTATTTTTGCAATTTTCATAGTACTCTACAGGATTATCACTCATTTTAAATTCAGCATAATGTGTACGAATTATATATGGCAACATATATCCATAATTTGATTGATTTTTTTGTATATGAGATAATACATCACTATGGATATTTTTCCCAAAATATTTTTCCAAATTGGTAAAACTGCTTTTTAATGAATCATAAAGCTTATTAACATCATTATAATGCTTAGAGGCTTTATAATGTTTATTGTATATCTCAGCTACACTAGCTACATACGTAATATTTATCAATATCTCTGTAATTCCTGGTAAATTTAAATCATATAATTCAACACCTTCTTTTGAATCTAACATTATGTTAACATCTGTAGTATTAGAACTTCTTAATCTCTTATACAGATTATTAAGCAAATCTGTGGTAAATAAAGCCCATGATAAACAATTGGTCATATTATCCGAAGTTATATCGTTCGTTATATCAATAGACATATAATGCTCGAAAATTCGTATCTTCTTCTCAATATTATATATATATAAGTTGCCTGCCATTATTTCACCATATATCGCAATAGTGGTTGCTTCTGCAATCCATAATTTTATATCAGATGCTGTTAGAAATAATAAAATAGTTTCATTAATGCAATGAGAATTTGTGTTATTATTATTAATTATAATTTCTAAAACATCTGTTGCCAAATTCATTAATATATCTTTAACATGACATGTATTATATATTTTGTTCCAAATAATAATTGCACATCTTTTAATAAGATCATTAAATTCTGAATCAGATAATATCTCATTGCTTTTTACAAGTCCTTCTTTCCAACTGTTGCGCATAATATCAGTAGTTAAATCATCATATTCTCGAGTGCACAATTCAAAAAACGTTTTCAATATCTGTATAGCACATAATATTATTTGTTTTTGACCCCATATTAAAGTCATTAACCTCGTCATAAATGTAATAAATTCCATAGAGCAATTATCATTTGTTTCATTTAATGAGTCGCAAAATATTGACACAATCTCATTTGCCCCTTCATCATTTACTAATAAACCTCCAGTTGCCGAAGTTTCAAAAGCTAACAAAATTAGATTCTGATTTTTTTCTAAATTATTGTGTCCAGGTGAAACAATTTCTTTGGCTACAGAAATTAGTAATTTGGTTACACTAGTTTGTGTATACCATTTCTTTATTATATGATCATTTCTATTACTTTCAGATAAACTACAATATATTACGTTCTTTGTTATTGCCATATCATTTAACTCAAATAACGATTTTAAAACTTCATTCTTTTCTTTATCATTTATATATTTAATAAAATAGAATATTAATTCAGTAACTTGTCCTATTATTTCCGGATTTTTCAATAATAAGGGTCTTAAGTTATTATTGTAAAATTCAAAGAAATCCTTATCAAACTTAAATGATTTTGAAAGCGCAACAAACAATTCTCTACTTGCAAAATGTTTTATAAGTTTGTTCAGCTGTTTGATATATTCAATAGATTGCTGGTTGTTCATGTTATTAAAATAAATTGTACAGAGTGCATTTACGAACTCGTAAAGTTCCGCGTTAAAAACTGTATCTGTAGAAATATCGGTAACTTTTACTTTTGACTGGTTCGCAATAGAACTACTTAAATCAGAAAAGTTTACTTTTAATTTCTTATGGTTGTAATCTGGTAAATTCTTTAAAATTAATAAAAATTCAATTTGAGAATCTTTTGTATCTATAGTATGTAATGTTACAATATCTCCTGATATATTTATGAGCTTGGTAAATAACAATCTCAATTCGTTCCAAAATTGCTGCATTAAAGAAATATATGCTTTATATCCCTCATTAGTACAATTTTTACTCCAATATCGTACTAAATGTGCTACTTTGGCAAAACAAAATTGTTTCATAGAAATGCTATCTGTCATACATGCTTCTATAAATAACATAAGCTGTTCTTTGAGAAGACAAATGCATAAATCTATATTTTCGACATTTATGAGAATTGAATAACGCAGGCATTCGACAAAAGAGGTCGCTATAGCCATCGTTTCTGAGCGGCTCATTTGCACACTTTTGGCAAAAAATCCCTGACGCATGTTGTCAAAGAAGTTCATGTACAGATCATTGGTATTGACATTCAGCTTTGAAAATTGACTGATAAAAGGCAACAAATTTGGATAAACAGTGCTGGCGCAGCATTGACCGCCAGATCGTAGAACATGCCATAATTTCGGTAGTACGAGTTTATCAATATTTACGACAAAATACCAATCATCGATTTTAGTTGTAGCAATGAGCATTGATTCCCATACAGCTGATAAAATTCCAGGCTCAGATTCATCAAGACTATTCATAATAGTAGTCAATGTCCTTTTCTTTTCATTTTGTAACAGTTTTTCTGCATTTTCCATTATAGATGTCAATACATTAAAGAAAGCTGTTTTTATTGGCAAAGCATCGTGTTTAGCCAATTTCCAAAATTTTGGATTGTTCAAAATTTTGTTATGAATCTCTAAGATTTTGTCTATTTCATGAAGTGGAACTTTGTTGAAATAACAACTATATCCTTGCAGATTCGCTATTAATACTCTCTGATATTTGGCTTCCATTTCTTCTTTAGTAAGAGATTTTTGCATTGATAATGTTTGAGCTGTGTGTACAGTGATATTGTCATTAATATATACTAAAATTTCACGTTGGTAATAAACAATTGCATCAATTATCTTCCATGGTGGAAAAGTAGTATTGAAAGAATTGATAGCAGCTGAGGATGCTGGAGGATATGTGTCATATTGAGAAATAAACCAAGCACCAGCCAATTGTTTTAAATATATCGCTATTCCTTTCCCTATACGTTTGGCAACTGCTGCATGTGCTAACTGTGCAGCTTCTCTTACTCTATGATCTATATCAATGGATAGAGCACAATACAGTCGTGGCCAAAAAGACAACATGCTTTCGATTATTGATAATTCAGCATCTTGACACAAAGTTGCAAACTCTTGCAATGCCTATACAATCATACTTTTATTATTTTACAAAATTTAGGCAGATTAATCAATTAATAAATCAAAATAATTACCTTGTACTTTGTTGTAGCATCTTTTTTGTTCATTTTTTTTAGTATTACTTGAAAACTAGCATCCACATTGTTTATTTCTCCCTTATTTAAAGAACATAAGGATAGGCCAGGTAAAACAGGAACATAACCTCCATCTTTAACTGCTGAGAAACCAACATAATTGGGCATTGCAGTCCCCAAAAGTTCTGCACTGCGACTACTATTTGATGGCTAGAAAAGGATTTTTTGAAGTCTTACATGATATTTCAACATATAAAAATAAAAACAATATAAAAAAATGTCATTAATGATATGAAAGTACAAATATTGCCATAAACACATTATTTGTTCAAGTAACAATAATTGTATATTAACATACGCCAATAATGAATATTTAAATAATGTATACTTATAAGTTACATGTTACAATCATTATGCATCATGCTTATAATCATGTATAATTTATATATCATTTTCTTTTACCCGTGCATTGTTTTTGGTTCGATGTGCTTGTTTATTTTTACCCATGTTAAAAATTCGATGGCGTGAAAATAATTTGATTAATCTGAATATCTGTGACCTGTGACTGTAACCAGAGAGAAGCCTGAGAGGGATCAAGCCTTTTTTTTTTTTTTATTGATAACGAATTCGGCACTCATGAACTGATTCTGTACTAGTGCTGCCCCAACATAGTACCAGCCATAGACATAGGCTGCGGTCCGAAATACGCTTACAGCGCTATTAGCGCGCTGCCAGCTATAGTGCACGTGACGTAAACTATAGATTTTCAGTATTGTGAGCGCTCTGAGCGTATTTCGGACCGCAGCTATAGTATATCTAGACCATAGACATATTAAATCTAAACCGATCTCCTCGAACCGTCTCCGACGATAATTGCGCCATTATATATATATATATATTACCGTATTATATTTACATTGCGTAAACTATTTGTGTAAACTATTTTTCACTTTAATATCAGTCTGTCTACCAACGAAATTTGACCTTAAATATCACGCCATAATATTTATTGAAATGTTATCTTCATTTCGATATAAAAGCCGTACGTTTCCGCATTTCACTCATAGTCTGACGTTATTTGAACAATTATTATACGATTTAAGTAAACTAAAATTTATTCTGATTGTGAGTTCCGAATTAAAGTTTTATATATAAAATGGTAATTATTCAGAATTATGGCTCCACCTACAACTGGGCTGCAAATTTTTTTACGGACTTTTTATGTTTAGAAAGAAATATAAATAACCATTTTTAGTTGGGGAACGCCCAAAAAAAAAGTTATAGACCAAAAAAGGGTAATTATGGTAATTATTTCGAATAAGGCTATTTCTGAATTTTGACAAATATGATCGGATCTCTCGGTAAAACTCTTTGTAGTGACTTCAACAGTGATAATCAGTTGGGGAAGCACGTCCCCCATCACCCCACCCCCCAAAAAACCGAAAAACTCCAAAAATTACCAGAGCAAAGCGAGGTTCACCCCACAACCCAAACCAAATTTTAGTTTTAAATCAGAAATAGGTTTGGGTTAGGTTATATTTTCCGGAAGTGGAGCCCCCCGTAGGGGGAGGGGCGGAACACACTGTGTCCATACATAAAGTTTACAAAGCAAAGCGAGATCCACCCCACAATTGTTGTGTGGATGCGAAAGTGTATGGGTGGACGCAGTGGGTTCCGCCCCCCCCTACGGGTTGGCTCCACTTCCGGAAGATATAACCTAACCCAAACCTATTCCTGATTTAAAACTAAAATTTGGTTTGGGTTGTGGGGTGAACTTTATAGTACATAATTACCTAATTTTCGGTAATTTTGGGGGTTTTTCGTTTTATGGGGGATGGGGGTGATGGGGGACGGGCTCCCCCGACTGATTATCACTGTTGGAGTCACAACAAAAGTTTTACCGAGAGATCCGATCATATTTGTCAAAATTTAGGAAAGACCTTATTCGAAATAATTACCCTTTTTTAGTCTATAACTTTTTTTTGGGCCTCCCCCAACTAAAAATGGTTATTTAAATCTCTTTTTAAACATAAAAAGTCCGTAAAAAAATTTGCAGCCCATTTGCAGGTGGAGCCGTAATTCTGAATAATTACCTATAAAATAAATCCAAGAGGTGATTTTTTAAATTAACTCCTCACGAAAGACGAACTTCTTGTGCTGGTGACAACACAACAATTTGTGTTAAAATGCCAAGAATAAATATAGCAAATGTTATAAATTAATTAATCACAACGTTTAACATTGCAAATTTTGCAGTCTCACCTGTTAATCACAATGAAATTGAACTTCATGATGCCATTTCCGATCGGGCGTATCCCGTTTGGACACGGAACGATTGGACACCGCTCGATTGGACACGTAGAATTGGACACGGAACGATTGGACACTGCACGATTGGACACAGAATTATTGGACACCGCACGATTGGACACCGTACAATTGGACACGCACACTGCACGATTGGACACAGCAGAATTGGACACCGCATTATTGGACACAGCACAATTGGACACCGCATTATTGGACACTGCACGATTGGACACCGCACGATTGGACACCGTACGATTCAACACACGACAAGTTCTCGGAAGCTGAGTAAGCAGCTGACGAGACAGCTGACGAGCGGAGCACGAGAC